ACATAGGAACACCTATAAGAAATGATATTGGGTAGGTCCTGGCTGTTCTGTCAACAGCAGACTGACTTCAGTGGGCCAAGCAGGGGATAAAGTTAGGCCCATCATTTGAGGAGATTCCTATGACCCCTGAGATTTTCTACTATAGAGTAGGGCATTGATTTCTCAGCAGACTTTACTGGGAAAATGGACGGTCAAATCTGTGTTTAAGGCAGTCTATGGTACAACGAATGTCCATGAAACATGTACAGCACGAACATTTTAAAAAGCTTCAGTTCCAAAAGCCCTACGTTAACCATTTATTCGATAGGTATATTTTCTAAGCCAAATTTCGTATGGAGGCAGCCCTTGGGTAGCTTTGTGTTCTGCTGTTTTCACAGGGTTTCTCTCTTCCTCTGTGCATGACTGTGTGTGGCTGCAGGAGAGGCATTGGCAAGGCCGGAGTGAAGCAGAGAGTCAGGGTAGACTCTAGTCATTCTCTTGATTTCTTGTGAAAATAATCAGATGATTAAACAAACTAGTACCCCGATACAATCTTTGTATCTAGGAACATATGAAGTTTTACTGTTTGAGTGTCTGAATATAATGAAGGAAAAGCCACAGGGTACTGAGCAAGCCTCAGCTAGGCCGGTACATGTCCATGATGCAGGGGGCCTACCTTCAGTTCTTTGTTTGAGGAAAAGGTGATCATTGCTGAAGTATGGAGGATTTACAGTGTAATTTCTAATTTCTAAGTGACTGTTGTAGAGTATCTTGACATACCTCACTGAGCAAATGGAGCATAAAGAGGAAGAGAAGGCAACTAAAACCCAGTCAACAAGATTTTTCTCTTTAAGCTTAACACTCAAAAGCATGGTTCTTAAGGCTGTGAAATATGAATCATATGGAAAATATTAAAGTTTAATTAAAGTTTAAAAGTTAAATTAAAGTTAATTAAAGTTTAAAAGAATAATTTCTGATGGTATTTTTTCCATAGTTAGGTATAAAATCATATCTTAGACTTTTCACTTTTATTAAGTTTTAATCTTGTAAGGAGTACTCAGATTTTCAGGGTCTAGCATATTCACTAGAGTGAATTTTCTAACATCACTATTACCAGAGTAATAGTGATCACAATTCACTACAGTGATTTCCTAACATCACTTGGCGTATTCATTGGAGTGGTTTGCAACATATGAATTTTGGTGTGCATGTTATGGCTAAGTGGTATAGTCATTACATCAAATGCTAATAAAAAGGCTTATCTCACATTTCCAAACATACGTACTTTCTAGCAGGGAATCAGTGTCTATGATCTTTTATGCTCATGTTGTTAATAACAAGGTAGTGAGATTTTTTATTAATTGTTTGAATTGTTGTTGGTTTAGATCATTGCATTTGGTAGCCTTTCTACCACAGTGAGATTTGCTTCAAGTTCCTTCTTGGAATGAGCTGGTACCCCGGCATGAAACCTGGTATTTGATATCAGTCAGCAGTGCAGCATGACAAGGAAAATCTCAAAGGCAGCCTTGCCTTCCTGCCACTCCTGAAATGCTCATGCAGGGGGACTATCCAGACAGCTCTCAGCTCTGTTGAAACAAACTCTGAGTATCTGAGCTGGTTAACACTAAGCATTCTGTTTCATAGTAACAGAGTATAACAATAGTTGGAGAGTGCATGGATTGACATCATGTGTCTTGAGGTTTTGTTTACATAGATCTATTCCTTGTTGTTTGAAAAAGCTTCTGCTCAGAAACACCTTATTCCAGCAGTGCTCCAGGTGACTTCTCTAGGACCTCTGACTTCATATAAGTGCTGTACAGTGTGTGAGGGTATCAAAAGCTATTGTACAAGTAATTGCAGCTGCAGAATTAACAGCAAACCAGTGCTAGCAACCTTTACATTAATTCTAAATGACTCTTCAGTTCAGGGATATTCATGCCCCTTTTAATTATTATTATTACATCTCTTACCATACAGTGCAAAAACCTAGTTCACACTGCCAATGCTCTACAGGAGCAAAATGATTTTATTTACTCACACACTGATTAACTCTGCTAGTAAAAATAGACATATTTGCATAAGTACAAGAGTATTGGTATTAATACAAATTTTATGAGTTAGGATTTGTGCTTTTTTAAGCTAAGTCTTGCCAATTTTCCATTTTAGATATCCAGCTGCAGCATAGAAATATTTCCACGTGACTACTTGACTACAAGTAACTAATCAAAAGTAGTCACAAGCCAGCATTTCATGGGCAGACATTACTTTGTTCATGTGATTTTTGATGACAGTTTGTTAGGTCTAAGGACTATGCAAAAGTATCAAATAAAATCTACATGTAAACAATGCTTAGATTATAGCTTTAAGACAGAAACTTTGCTGATCAAAGAGCTCTGTTAATGTAAAATATTTAATTTTCAGTTATAAGTTCAATAAGTTTATTTACTCCCAATTAAACCCTATATCGATGAATGCATTGTTGTTGCAGTGCTGCTCCAAAGGCAGAGTGGAGTGAGAGGTTGACAGGGGAGCTTCAGGCAGGACATTTGCAGAGCAGTAGAGAAGTATATTAGACAAAAACATTTTGTAATGCTCACAGTTTTGAGGGTGATCTGTCCATGTGATTCAGTTATTTTAAAAGTAAAATATTGCAATGATGCAATATGGACAACATATTCCAAATTGGGGGAAATCATGGTTTGCTGAAGTCAGTGCTAGAATTTGAACTGCTTTCAGTGAGGCTGGAATGACACCCTAACTTTCCTTTTCTTTCTCTAGTAAAAGGTTAGTGAAGTGCAACAACTGACTTGTGCAGGAAATAACTTGTTTGTTTCAATACTGAAAAAAAATCTGCACAGTATTAGTAATTCTTGTTATCGATTTAATTACTTGGCCAAATTTTGCAACTACTTAAACTTTTGTGAATGCTCTGATTGTTGTCAGTGTATTTATTCACGTGCAGAGCACGCAGTATGCATGTTAGGGTTTGGTCTTGTTGGCCTGTAAGGAATTTGAAAGTCCTAAACAAGTGATACATGAGGAAAGGATGCTCCCCTCCCTCTGAAGTGTTAATAAGTTTTTAACAAAGATGAGCTTTCATCCTGCTTATAAATAAACAGCAGCTACAAGCAACTTTTGTATGTCTTAGTCCATAAGTTTCCCAAACTAGTTTAAGGCTGGTTCCACAGCAGGAGAAAGTTGTCTTGGTTATTAGAATTAAAATCCTGTTTTTATGTTGAGGAACTGGAATCTTTTCATTTAGCACTAAGTTTTTTCCTCTTTAATATGGTCTATTTAATATATCTTCTCCATATAGTACTTTAAAATATGAGGTCAGGAAGGTGTCAGAGGGAATCATCTTGCCTATCAGATGGTTATGAACAGAAACCACAATCTTTGCTGAGATAAAACATCAATTTCCATTACAAAGAGTTTTCTTTCAAAGCTCGTGAAAAAATTTTGGGAATTTCCTTCCTGGCTATGTTAATCCACAAGATGACAGAAAAGAAAAACATGGGTTAAAATAACTATTTGAGATTATTATGGAGGAAGTCTTATGGTTAGATAATCTGAGATCTGAGCGTGTTTGTGTAAACAACACACTTTGCAAGGGGAGAGGAAAGGAGAGAGGCACACACAGAATGGTATAAACCAAGGTGCCCTGTCCTCAGCTGGAGACTTCCACATTATTCAGGTCATTTGCTTGAAATCCTATAAAAGTTCATTTTCTGTTGGTCTATTTGTAGTGTTTGTAAATAATTCTTACAAAATTAGAGAAACCTTGAAGCTGCCTTTCTCCAAATACCAAGTGTCCCTCCTTGCAGGTTCTCCAAGTTTTATCTCACTCTCTACTCCTTTTTCAACCATTTTGCATGTCCTTCCACATGAATTCTTCACACAAGCTTTTGTCTGTGTGTGTGTGTGTGTGTGTGTGAAGAAATGAGCAACTTTTTTCCCTGGCCAATAGTTTTGGCCTTCTAATTTGCTTAGAAATAAGATCCTGCCTGCACAACTACCTGCACAACTACATCGTGTGATTTTTCTTAAGCAGACCAACTAAAAAGCAAACCAACAGAGAGCAGTTTTTGGTATGGTGGTTCCCAGGGGGCAAGGAGGGAGAAGGAAAGGTAAGGGAGCCTGTCTGGAGAGACCATTAAGAGCAGAAGAGGGAGTGGGTACTAACTTTAATGTATCACTGGAGCGGGACTTGCGCATCTGGGAGGAAGAGGCTGTGCCACTTTCAAGGCCAGGTACTTTGCACTGCAGAATTACCTTCCTACCTAACCTGTTCAATGCACAGTCCAGGAATTGCTGCCGGAACGGCTGGTTCCACGCAGCGCTGCAGCAGCAGCGCTCCCCCAGCACACACTGTCTGCCCAGCTGCACATAAAGTCCTTCTTCCTCTGCTGTTAAGGGCTTTACCCGTTTGCACGTATGCGTACAGAACACATCGCAGGCATGCACAGGGCTTCATCCACCAGAATGTGTGCGTAAACGCCACAAATACTCTCCAATATGCCCGGCTCCACGACAAGCAATCGCTCCCTGTCTGCCCTGCCTTGTTCCATCGGGGTTGGAAGCGTTTTGCGCGTGGGGAAATGCCGGCGGCGCTGAGCTGCCGTCTCGGGGGGGACCTGGATCCCTGTCCTTGGTCCTAAATCCCGGCCGGCTCGGAGGTGGCGGGCGCGCAGCCGGGCACAGCCATGATGCCGCGGCGGAGCCCCGGAGCGCCGGGCACCAGGGCCAGCAGTAACGCGGCGGGAATCCTTCCTAAACATGGCTCCAAACTGCACGGAGCGCCCGGCGCATCCCTGCAGCCGCCAGCCCTCCCTGCCCGCCTCGCAGCAACAGCCGCGTACGAGGAACGCAGCCCTGGAAGAGCTGCTGGGAGCGGGGCCGCGCAATGCCGCGCTCCCAACCTTCGGCATCCTCGCTCCGCGCTGCGAATTTGCAACCGGCATCTTCACCCCCCAGCCCTCCCTCGCCCCCCCCAGCAAACAGAATCAGAAAGCACATCTTACCGCTGGATGAGGGAGAGCAGCACAAGTGCCCGCACCATCATTTTGAGAGAAAATGCAGGATTCAAGAGCGCAGGGCTGCCCAGGCTTGTTGGATTTGGAGGAATCATCTCTGTTTTTTCCCCCCCTCTTTTTTTTTTCCCCTTTCCTCTTGGTTGCAGATGGATCCGTCCCCTTCTTAAATTTTTTTTTTTTTTTTGGTAGTGGTTCTCCCCCCCTCCCTAGCAGGTCCCGTCAGTAGGATGATACATTGCGCCCAGCTGCGGGAATTAATATGCAGGGGGGGGGCAGAAATTAGATCCGCACAAGCCCTTTGCAGATATAATCAAAAAATGTCAGCTCAGGCAGCAGGCAGCAGCTTCCAGATCGAGAGGAATAATGTAACAGGGAGGGAAAAAAAAAAAAAAAAAACCACATCCACACACTCGCGGAATAAAAGCAGCTAAGGGAAGGAGAAGCACAAACATGCACACGTTTACAGGATCACTCCTACACATGCAACAAAATCCGATGCACCGGGAGAACGAGTAAATGAGAGGAAAAAGAAAAGAAAGAATAAAGCAATGGAGCGTCTGCCTGAATGCAGATTAACTCTGAGGTCAAAGTGGAAATGATGCACTGTGCTGCAGCACAGATTAACACATGCGTGGTGTCAGCCGGGGTGCTTTTTAACCTTTGGTTACACATATGCAGGCAGCCTGGATTTTCGTTTTGGGAGCGAGGAGGAATTGGCAGGCATAAAAAGGGAGGTTGGAAGGAAAAGCTTGCCCTGTGCTGCTGAGCATATTCATTTTTCTAAACCGTGTGGAAACCGTGATTGCAGAGGGGAAGGAAAAAAAGGATGGATCAGGGGAGTGGAAAAGGGAGGGATGCTTGTTGCTAAGTAACTCAGGAAATGGGGAAAGCAGCATTGGTGGAGTCAGTATGAATGAGGTGATTCAGTGTGCGATAGGATTAGGGAGAATGTACAAGATTTCATCTCCCCTCCCCCTAATAAAAATCAGGGTATACAAATGTAGGAAATGCCTCCTGCAGAGAAAGGAAACAATAGGTGGCTACAAAAGCAGGAATTTTGGAACCAGCTTCCCAAATTCCATTGTCCAAACGTGCAATTTCAGCTGCTGTCAGGGAACCTGAGGCTTCTGCGAGGAAGCGTGCCTAGAGGCAGCCTGGGGCCAGCACTGAGGCTTCCGAAATTTTGACCTCCACATTTTTGCTGCCTAAATACAAAGCAAATTCAGACAAGCTCAGGCCTCTCCAGCCAGGCCCGCTCGCACACAGGAAGATGGAAGTGCAGGCAGAATCATCAGGAGCCGAGCTGGGGAACCTCACACCGCTTTAGTTTGAAGCCCATCCCTCTGTGCAACTCGAGGAAGAAAAAAAGAAAGATTTATTTTAAAAAGTATAGGTAAAAAGATATAAACCTATTAAGCATTCCCAATTTTTCTCCTACTATCTCTGAGCATATATACAACAATATATGCGTATGCATGCAAGAATCAACATTTGCTCCTGTTTCCCTTCATTACCTATGAACATGACACCTTTGTGTTTTTATTGCTGTAATCTTCCTTATCTGCTATCAAAATATTCCTTTGAGAGATGACGATGTTTCATGTGGTTTTTTTTCTGAAAATTATTCCATGACTTCCTACAAAATTGTTATGCGCATCCTCTCCAGGGAGCTGGCTTATGATGGTGTCTGGGTCCCTAAGCTCAAAGAAAATCTTGTTCTTCCTTACTGCTAAAATCACTTTTTCCTGTGTATCAAATATTGTTTGGTATGTTAGGAAAGAAGGCAAAAGGAGAGATAAGAAAAAGCAAATGCAAAAAAGAAAAAAAAAAGTTAATTAGAAAATATACACTATCATTGCTAATGATAGATTTTTGACAGGTTATTCACAGGTTGCATATTTTTTTTCTTCTACTTGATGTTGCTTGTCCTGAAGTCCTTAGTGTTTCAGCTTGTAAAAGCATGTGTTGTTTTAGACAAATAACAAAAATAAATTGGCTAAACACTCTTTAAACTAGTCTCACAATCTTTCAGGTGATATAAAATTTGGGTAAGAGGTGACTTTGATTATTTTAGGCTATATTGAAGATATTTTAAAAGCAGGAAATGATACTTATTTCAGGCCTAGGTAGATCAGCTGTCTAGTAATGATGTAAGAGCCATTATTAATTATATATCAACTAATCCTTGGAGTTCAGAAACATTTTCATCCAGAAATAGGATATCCTTGTTATAGAAAAAAAATGCCTTTAGAGCTTTAGAGCTCCTAGAGTCTACAAACTTTAAGCAATAGCTTGTTTAAATAGCTTTATAGAAATATATAGTAATTGTAATAATACTGATAGCATTTAGACTATCCAAGATTCCCATTGCATATTCTAGTCCCAGGGAAATATATTCATCCTGAATTCCTAAGGAAAATGGTATCCAATGTAAAACACTTTTTAGACTATATTCTAAGCTTTGAGACAATCTCTCTCTTTTTCCCAGACCTGTCTTCTAAGACACTTTCTGCTTATTGATGGATGTATAAATGTATGTCAAAATGGAAACATCTAAAATTAATTTTTCAGATAGATTCACCTCATGGGAAAGAGAGATCTTAAATTTTTGTAGGCTGTTATACTGCATATACGTGTGTGATTGTGTGTATTTTTCTGCTATTATTTTATTAGTTCATTAGCTCACGGCTAAGGTCTGTAGTGCGGCGGTTCTGCCGCCGGGAAGGAGCTGCCAGGTGGAGTCGGCGCGTGGAAGAGCTCAAGGTCTCGTCCTCTGCATCCCCGCGCACAAAAACATCCGCAGATGTTTGGTGGAGGAGCAGCACGGAGGTGCATTGGATGAACAGACTAAGATCTTAGTTTGGAGATGATTATTCACTTCTTAAGGGAGAGGAAATTGAGGCTTTTCAGAGAGTACTTTTAATCAAGTTGAACTGAACATCACTGCAAGTGTGAGGATTTTATACATTGCTCTCAGTGTTAAGTAGATGAACTCTAATCCACAGTTCATTATGTATCCAAATACAGATTTATTTGCATCAGCAAATGTGATTTATTGTGACATAACTAAAAATAATCTTTTTTAAAAAAGTAAAACACCTCATATCTTAGCACTACATTCTTTTATTAAATTTCTAGATTATTACTGTAGGATTCCAGATGGACTTTATTTTTTTAATTGAAAGAGCAAAATATAAACATTGTCTCAATGCTATTAATTGCATTATGACAATTTACTTGAGCTGTCTGGGAGAAGAAAAGAGATGAAAGAAATGTAAATAATATTTCTTTTAAGCAAGCCATCAAGCTGAGGCTGACTTTTCAGAGGTTTCAGCCTACTGCATTATTGGAGTAGCAATGTCTTGTGCTGTTTGGTAATTTTTTTTTCCCATTTAGAATTATTTTAGACACTGGCCATAAAAATGGGCGTTATTTTCTAGAATACACGAAATGCACTTTTGCCATTCCTTATGTAAATTTAACATTTTTCAGAGAGATTTTTACTTTGACTGTTCCATGTGATTTCTTTTTCAAGCAATCACTTTCTGAGTACCTGATTTACAAGAAAAAATACTGGTAGCCTAGATGCAACCACAACACAACCCCCCAAACTGTGTTTGTTTATATGCTTTGATCTTGTTTTAGAACAGTACAGAAAATATGTTCTTGGCTAAGAGCTCTCTCACAGTACTTTGATTTACAAGCTTCTGTCAGCAACAGCTTTAACGAAAACTATTTTTACTATATACATCTAGTATTCCCTCATAACAGAGCTCCTTCAGCAAACCGCTTTTGCCTTTCTCCCTGCCAGTGCCCCTGAGCTTCCTCCCCATCCTGTAGTCACCGGGGTTGTTTATGAAGTGGAGGAGGGAGTCATGCATTATTTCTTCAGTTCTTCAATTCAGTCTTTTCATTTACTTTGTGGATCGTGGTTTAATTTTTTATGCTTACTCTTGCTACCAATGGGGCTCCTAACAATACTAAACTTTGTTCGTTTAAACCATACACAGCTACAATATTATTCCCAGCTGAGGAAGCAAAATACTTGCAGTTCCAGAAAAACTGTATTTTTTCAGTTGTTAGTTTTGCCCAATCTGTAATGCAGTAAGAGGAGCAACACCAGGTTCTGCACAAATACAAGACAAAAAAGAAAAAGTAACGACCTAAGCTGTCGTAAGAGTGACTGCTTCTTTCAGAAAAAAAAAAGATATTTAGTGTTGCAACGTCATAGTTACCTAAATGCAGGCCTTACTCCACACAAATGGTGTAACCTTTTATCATTTTCATTAATGAAACAAAGGCCGTAACTTCCTGGAAAGTAATTCAATCTCAGATTATAATTTTTTTACAGTTGATAATATTATTTTCTCATTAAAGACAACTCTTTTTCTGTGTATTTGACTCCACCTCTTATCAGGAAAATGAGATCTAGCAAGACAAAGGTGAGACCTTTATGAATGTGAAGAATGTCTTCTCTTGTTAGAGGTGGGCAATAACAGCAGAAGCCTAGCAAAAAGGCAGCAGCTCATTCTCTCATTTTATGACGGGAGAAAAACTAGTCAATTAGGTGTCAAAGTGTTATATTACCTATTCAGGAGTAAGAATACACATGATGCTGTAAACAGTTATCAATATAGTATTCATCATTTGATTTCCATGTATAAGTTTGAGCTGTAAGGTTGGCTTATTTTTCGTCCACATTTTTATATACTGCTGAATTAGATTATTTAAAAGGTATTAACTTCTATTCAGGAGATGTTTCTATGTTTACATCCTTTGTCTGACACATCCACCCATTTTACTTCTTTTTCTTGCATGAATGTAAAATGTTCTCAATGAAAGGAAATTTTAAAAGTTGGTTGTGAAAAATGTTTCCATTTCAGCTAGATATTGCATAAGAATATGTAAAAGCCATTCATTGTATTGGCAATCCCTCCTTTGCTGCTCTTTCTGTCATAGAATTAAAACACTGTGAAGCTAAATAAGTTGGGCTCTGATCCTGCAAAAATTCTATGCCTGTTGTGTTTTCATAGGAGCATGGTGAACAGGAAAGTGAAGTTTTCAAGAAACTCTCTTTAGGATTTAGTTTTGAGTTGAAACCAATCTAGTATGAATACTCATAATGCTCTGGCAATTTACCCTGACTAATGAATATGATGGTGCAAGACTGACCATTCATAGTCAATCTCCTTGTTTTATATCTTTCTGAGAAAAACTTGCAATCAGTGTTCTTTTGTGCTCAGCCCTCTGGAATTGGGGTGCGTAGACAGTGAGACTGCACGTAGAGTACAAATAAAATAAGCTAATAATTAATACTAGCACCATCAAATTAAGAAGTACATGATGTTCTTGTCGATTACTCAAGTTCTACTAATATTTTTAGAGATGGAATTTGTTTCTTTCTTGGAGTAAATTCCATTTTCTGGGGTAAATTTTCTGGGGTAAATTCTATGAGAATATAGTCAGTATCTCTTGAAATATTTTGGCAACAAAAGTCACTGAAATGTAAAGTCTCGAAATGTAAAGTTCTATTTGGAAATGAATGTGAGTTATGCACATTTCATCCAGAGCTGATGGAGTCTGTATTTTTTATCCCTTTTTTATTAGAACATGGATTTTCTACATGGATTTTCTAAGATAATTCCAAAGAGTGAAAAGATCTAAGCTATTGCAAACACTATCAACTAATTATTCTTTGTTTCTTTTAATATCTGGTGATCTTTCTTGAGTCATCCTGACCTGTGCAAACATAAAGGTAGGTCTGTGCCCCAAAGATCATGGAATCTATCTGGAAATAGGGA